AAAAATTACTTACATTGTAATTGGGATTTTATTAGTTGATTAATTAGAACTCAGGCAAAACTTTGTTGATAAGGTTTTGACTATATGATTTACTACATGTGGTTGAAATTGGTTATAACAATCTTTTTTGAATTTAAGTTTTATAAAAGGTTTTGAATATTGTTGAAATTGGTTATAACAATCTTTTGAATCGTATTTTAAATTGTAATATTCAAGTTAAAAATTAATGTTCAACTTACTTGACAGAAGATTATTAAAATATCACGAGATCTTGGCACCGGCTATTGAATAATTTTAATCAACCAAACATGGCAGGAAAATTAATATATTATTGTGTGAATGTGAATTGAAAGATAATGTGATTTTATATTTTAATGTTCAATTTCATACATTTATATAGTGAGAAACTCACTTTTGAAGGGTTCGTATTAATAAAGTAAATAATATATATATATATATATATATATATATATATATATATTAACCATAGATTATCTCAATTTCAATATCACAAACTTTGACCACACACTTTTTTAATTCAAACAAAGACTGCGAAGCAAATTCCTCAAACTGGAGAAGTCGCATGTTAACCTTATTTTTCAGCGAAAGAATCTCGACCACGATTTTATATTACTAAATAATTACTTAATACTTAACATTTTTTTTAATATTTTCTTCAATACATATCTGGGAAATTAGTGGTTAGAAGCTTCACCAACTTAATTAGAATACTTTAAACAGAAACTTATGGCAAGCAATGGCTTAATAATATTTTCTTTAAGAGATTCAGCTTTTGGATGTGGACACAGAACCTGATTTTTATATTAGACATGTCTAATCTTTCGATAATTATATTTTATATGTATGCTTTCAAATTAAAATATCATATTATACATGCGTTACGCACGGTTTTGCTATGGAGCCAATGGTTGACTCTATAGTGGAGTCAACCTTCTATATACAACAAGTAAATCTACTATGTTCTATGATTACTTAAATAACATTAATATAATTTTATTAGTATGGTAGATTTATTTGTTGTATATAGAAGGTTGGCTCCACTATAGAGCCAACTGTTGGCTTCATAACAAAACAGGCGTTACGCAATATGCGTTGCGTTACACAATATAAACACAATCTCATATTTGACGCTTATTATTGTGAATATGAATCATAATAAATTGCATTAAAATGTCATACTTTCAAATATAATGGTAAGAAATATTATTTACATAGAAACTTCACAATAATATGAAATAATGAAGTAGCCTACAAAATTGTGGTTGAGGAGATTCCTCAATGT